GTCATTCATACCAAATGTACTTAAATCTGTTTGCTTTTTGGCAAAACCAACATGAGCTGTTAATGAAAGGGGGAAATTTACATACCCCAGCTTTAATTCAGCGTTTCAGTTTAGTTTCAGGAGGAGACAGGGACACTCCTGCGCTGTATTTGTATTTTTTTTAACGCGTTAATGAAACATTTAACGTGAGTTAACGCGATAATTTTGACAGCCCTACCCAGAAGTAATATTTTTTTCAAAGATAAAAAATATCATATTCTTTAACAAGGTTGAAGTTACAGATTATATACATTGGACGACTATTATTCTTCCCACAAACTTTTATTTGAAGTTGCACTGTAGTCTAACCAGCCTTTACCTTTCTGATAACATAATCTCTAACATAGCAGTGAGAAGCTTACGCACTCTGGGATTTCCCTGACGTGGCTGGAAGACGTCCAGGAGTCGTGGGGCATGGGGAGGGGTAGAGCAGAGATCCAGCCTGACCCTCCCCTGCCAGCTCGCCCCGGCTGATCCACCCGGCCCTGTGCCAATTACATCTGTGCGAGGCATCTGAGGTGGCCCCATCACGTGTGGCCATGCTGACTACAAGCATGAAGCTAGGTGTAGGCAGGAAGAGACTCAAGAGCCTACATTAGTTGATTTGAGGGTCTTATGCCAGGGGTAAGTATTTTTGAAACAGACAGATTATTTACTCGTGTGACCTAGAATATCTCATTAGTTTTAAGACATTTCTGACTAGTGAGCTTAGTGGCTATGAGACAAAAACTAGAGAATCAAACAAGGAGTCCTGGTACATACCAAAGTGATGAACGCTACGTACGGTCTATGCTAGTTAGAAGAAACTCGGTTACAAGAAAGCCTGGATTAAGACATCAAGTCCAGAATGTTATAATGTGCAATCATGGCTTAATCTAATCTCTTAATCTCGATGGTAGGTCAAATTCATACAAAAAAAACCTCACTTGACCAAAGTTTTGGACAAAATTGAATTGTGAAATTATTTTGAACAGATATTTCCTAGAACACATTTCCCAGATACCAAGGTCCAATTTGACCTAGGTACCTTAAACATTTTGCTCGTGTCAGAAGTATCCCTAGAAAACGAATCGGGGTGGGGCCAATTTTGTTTTATTGAAATCCAAAAGCCAACATTTGTTTCTATTGGTTGTGTTGTTTTTTGTGCTTTGAGGGGGGGCTTTCTCCTTTTCAGGTCTTCGGGCACAGAGGACAAAAGCTGGTGGTTGAGAACATATGTAGAAGCCCCCCTTTCACCCCCTCACCCATAGTTCACTCTACTCGCCCTCTTTTACTCCATGAATGCAGCTATTGGGCATTCAGAGGCCGCAAAGTCCCCGAGAATTCAACCTTTTCGCACAAACGGCTCGGCGTACATTTGCTTAACACATTGAAAGCGGAGAAAGAGAATGGTTAATGGGTGCGAGGGAGAGTTTATGGGTGGGAGAACAGCATGGGGATAATTCAATTAGGAGAAATGAAGGCAAGTTTAGAAAAGTAGGATTATTTTTGTACAGGGTCGAGCACAAAAGACAAACAAAGATGTCGGAGAATCGGCGAGAATGAAAGGAGGCAATAAACTGTGGTGGGGTTTTTCCTCCTCGTTACTTTCGCACACTTTCAATTGGATTTTAAAACAATTCTGAATAAAATTGCGCCTCCGAGCTCGGCGTGAAGCTTGTCTTTTTACTCTGAAGTTCAATGGATACACTTTCATTTTCAATTGGACGGAATGAGGATTGGCAGACCTTTTATTTACAACAAGTATCGCCATGAGAAATGTTTCTTTTTTGAACAAAGTAAATTTGGTTTGGGACCAAGCCAAGACTTGCTTTGAAAGATCCAACCAATAGGTCAAATTGGTTCCTAGACTAAATTTAACTAAACTAAATTGGAAGTATGTCAAATTTGCAAGTACCTGATTCCAATTATTACTTAAATCAATTCAAGAATATACGTACTTGTTATGGGTATCTCAAAATGATTTCAATGTCTGACTCAATATGCTTTTATGGGGTGTTCCAATGCTGCTCGTGACATTCTTAACACAATATAATAGTCGATGCAATATTTCCCTTTATAAGCTTCAAAACTCATTCTCCAACCAAACCATTACATTTAACCCCAGACGTTTCCATTCCCATGACTTCAGCAGCCAAAAATAGCAAATGCTACTCAACTATATTTTTAAACAAGACCAATTTTACACCCAACAGATTGTAAACAAAGCCAGGTTTGATTTGGCTGTGGAGAGGTGGAAGCGGCGAACAGCTGTGTAGTCATTTGGATAATGACGGGAATAATGCGCGGGCAGCGGGAACTAGACTGTGGACATGGGTTTTGTGCCTGTATACTGCGGCAGGCTGGAGAGGCCCGTTGAAGCTTCACTGCCCCTGAATGGATAAAAGTGATTAAAGTCCTCGCGATTATCCCTTGAACCAATACGTAATGCATTTAGAGCGCGTTCAATTAGCTGTGTTTGCCGGTTGTTCGTAATACGGTCTTTGGGTTAGGTAATCTGCTGCTTTTGGTGTGAGGACTGGGTCTAATTTTAGGAAAGGGAAGCCTGGAGAGATCGGAGAAGGATGGGTGTTTTTGATGGTTTAAGCTTTTGAAATTTGTCTTTGAAACTTCATGATCGACGAACTGTTTTGATTCAATTCAGGAACCCAGAAAAAAGCAAACATGCAGATTCTATAGCTTAAAAATCAATGTTTATGCATTTTTTTAAATTTGGTCCCGAATATGACCTTGGGGATGTACTGTAGTTTGGAATTTAATATTTTGTGAAAGTGGGATTGTGAGTGGGATAGGTAGAAAACACATTGACAAGTAGAGATTACGAGAATGCGCCAACAGTAGAAAGGGGAAATCACGTTTAGCAAGATTTAGATCCAAACCTTACATGGCGTTGTCTAATTGAAGGCACAAACTGTAACGATTTTGACAAAACAGTTCTGCCCATGATGTCATAGCCCAAGGATTTGTCGTCGTTAGAAAAAGGGAGCATTTAGAAAGAGCGGATGTGTTCGTACCACTTAAAAGAAGTTCCTCATACAGTACAAGAGTGCATGAAGCTGAAATCAACTCCAGGTCTCTTTTTGATGAAGGAACAATGTTGTAACATGGATAAAAGATTAAAAGAAATGCTTTTGCATAATATTTCTCCTTTAAGCTTAAGTTTCTTTCATGTTTTGTCTTCTAGTAATGATGCAATAAACCCGGTCAACCCTGCACGTCCGGATTGCCTATTTTCTTTCGTTTTGGTCCGGCCCTTCCCCCCGGTACATTGTCCCCACGTCCCTGGGACACGCTGAGGCTCTTGTGTCCTCCTGAAATCTGACCTCAGCGGCAAAATCAATACAGTGCGATGTTGTGATCATGTCCCAACATTAGCTGGGGTGGAAGGACAAGCTTTCCTTTTCATTGCCCGACACAAACGGAAAGACAGCGATACTCTGGACTAAAATAAGATGTAAAAGACACAATAGAAAACCTTGCATCGTGTGAAAACTCTTGAATCTCTTTCTTTCAAATACACTCAGATGCTGTGTTAGATAATATTAATATTTACATTTTTGTTTTGCACTTCTACTTCTGACTGAATTCAAATCAAATATGTGATGTTAATTTTCAATTGAACCAGCTAGCTTTAATTCATTAAACTCATAGTCATATACCGCAGCTGTATACTTCCATTTTCATTGAAATTTCCAAACAAGTAACCATAACTTTAATATGCTAAATTGCAAGGATTTTTCATTCTGCCTCCCAAATGTTCACATTTTAACATAACCTCTTAATTTATGTGATACAAGACAAGAAATGCACCTTTTCTAATGCAATTGCACTGTTTTTTGAGATACCAGCCACACATAAAACAGCCCTATCTAGAGCAAAGCTTAAAGAAAGGTTACGTAAGGATAGAGCATCTTAAAATAGATCCAGTGAACAAAATGCTTAGACAACACGTCCCATAAAGCACTGCATCACGCCTTCCAATTATTCTACACTGGCCCCATTCGTTCAAGTGTGGTTGGCCCAGACGGAGCGGATGCTGCAGTGGCGTTGTTTGTGCTATTGCGTCTTACTTCAGAGTGCTGAGCGGAGCAAACAAGTCGCCCCTGATTAGCTCTGACCAGGTCACAGTGTGCCGCTGACAGGTGCGAGACAGGGATGGCCTCTATTGCCTGACAACTTTGTGACAGGTGTAATGGTGCAAGGGCTCAGTTTTTCCAGGTGTGTAACTAGGTTTCAAACGTGCATTATAAGAAATGATGTGATAGTTGAAGGCAATATGACAGGTTAGACGTAGAATTTTACTAAAACACAGTCCGATAGAGCCAAGTCGAGACTGAAATTTTGCCCATTTTCTGCTAGTCTTTGAAGTTTGGTAAAGTTTATAATTTCACTTGGTTGGACATGCTTTGTAAATGTGACATAGTTGAAGGGAGACACTATTGTAACTAATGAATAGACAAGGGCTACTTGTATAAAAATGTATAAGGAGTGTTGTCCCACCAAGAAAATTTATAGTGTGTGTCTGTTAGACATACTACAGTATCTATCACTATGGCTTGCGATAGAACTGGAAACAGTAAACAATGGCTATTGCTCATCACTGGATCGTGAGAAAACAGCGTTATTCCAATTGCTCATCACTTTGTTTGGTTTTCAGATCTTGTTATGAACAAAATATTAAATTCATGCAATACTACAATCCTATATCATTCTATAAGGACATTTGACTACTAGACAATAACACAACCCGGACTACAGCCATCAGACTTGAGGTGCAACACAAGGCATCCGTATACCGTTTTCATTTCTATTAAGAACCAAAATTCAATGTCAAATAAATCCGGCAAAAGAGCAACTTTGATAAACCAAAACCACTGCTTCGCAAACTTTTCCTCAGGGCGGCCATTCAAACTTCTCACCATTCCACATCACCATGCAAACTGTTGACAAGAAGCCCTTACTGTGAGATGCTGGAATAACCACGCCCGCATGATGTTTGTTGCCACTTTGGGGAAAATGCCACGTTTTTTCTGCCTCTTCTTTTCCTTGTCCGGGTCGTCGTCGTCTCCTGTGCCGGGCGATGCGACGCTGTTGTCGAGACCATCTCCTGGACGGAAACAAAGCCGGAGTTAAATACATCCCCCGGCTAAGGCTAACCGGGGTTTCATAGTGCAAAGTAAGGAGAGAAAATTGTGATCCAGGCAGAAACGCAAAGGCTTAGGGTGGATGGATGGATGGATAAGTGGACAAAGACTGTGGATATGATTGGGTGGTTTGCTGAGATATTACAGCGTTTGGAGGATTTTGAAAGGTCTTAGATTTGGATTTGGGTGTTAGCAGGAGCATGAACCACAAGGCTACTAAAAGCGGCATAATAGAAAAAAAATCTACTTTGTAACCTTGGTCAACTTCAATATTGTAGATTTTTCATATTGCAGGACCATCCAATGAATCCACAAATAGACTCACAATAGAAATATTCTCTTTTTCCCAAACTATCAAACTTATCTCTTTCATTTCAAGACGACTGCTTTCCAAAGATAGCTGGATTTGATTTTCAGCAAGACAACAATAGATACGTACAACAAATTCCCCGACCACTACATTGGAAAGAAAAGCATCAAAGATCCAGATAAATCCAGAATAATAGTCGAGGGATAACATTTGAGGGAACAAATCAAAAACTACTCAATGAATCCCAACATTCCCATTGGACATTCATTTTACTTAAGCATAATCTATTTTACACAACTGTCATGTTGATTCAATTGCGTTTCACCTTCCAGCACCGTGTTGATGTTGATTATCACATTACAGCCTGGAGGGAGGGGACCACTTTCCAAAAACGTGTTGGGAAGTCATGTGTGGCTGCTCGCTCATGCCTTTGCAGAGAGCGTGGGCTTTATGCAGAGGCCCCGGTCGGCTCCCTCTATACCCCAGAGCACGGAAGAGGGGAATCAGGGTTAATGACTCTAATGTTATGCTTGGACGCTGAAACACTGGGGTTCTCATTGCACTAGCAGTCAGTGAGAGGAGAGGGAGGGAGAAACTGGAACAAAGATGACAAGACGGACAAGGAGCCTTCAAGTACAGTGCGCAAACGGACTCGTGTCATTAATGCAATTAAATTTGCATGCTTGACATAATGTGGAGGTTTTTTTCTTTGGCTTTTGAAGATGGCCAAAGGGGACGCAGAGGAGTGAAGCAAGCGGGAGATTGGAATGTTTGAATGTTTTAAACCATTTTAGAAGCTGAATCAATCCATCAATGAGGAAAAGCAACAAAGATACACATTGTTTCTCAATATCCAATTCCCTATCCAACTTTTTATGATGTTTTTTTTTGCAGGGAAATCCATTGGGTTTTTTGATCATTTATTTGACCAAAAAATAGTTTTGTGATTTAAAAGTCCTGACGAAGAGGCATCATCATCACTGTGATACAAAATGCATGTAAAACTGATCTGTTTTAAAGCAGGTATATTCAACAAATGAACTGGCAATTCCACATTATATAAGAGCCCATCCACAAAGAGCTTTTACAGTTCCACTGTCAGACCAACCATATATACGGCAACCAAACGGCCTTGCGCACTGATGCTAGGTGGAAAAAAACAACAACATTCTATAACCTCTGCTGAAGAAGTCGAGTGGGAATCAACTGACAATTTGCCTCGAGTCTTTCTAGGTCTTTCATAACATTTGTCATTCCAAGTGCATAAACTTGATGCTAGTTTTCTTAGCAAACCCCAACACTCCAGAGTTGCTGCTGAAGGTCGAGCAATGGAGAGGCTAGTGCTGGCTCATTGTTCCACTTGGATGAACATAATGGACTTGTCTTTCTTCCCTCCCACCACCATCGCTCTCTCAGCTCTCCCCTGTTCTATCCGCCCCTTCCCCATTTCGTCAGATTAGTATGACGGGCTAGCAGCAGCAACAGCACAACTCCCCAAAAGTTTGCTGTTTTGTCTAAATCATATCTATTGTACAGCACAGGGAACAAAATTGTTGATTTGTCAATAGCAGAAAACATAACGATTATTGCAATAATTGTTTATTTTACAGGGGACGGAAAGATTTATCAATGCTCACAGGAAGCAAATCAATGAATGACACAGAGCATCCACTGGCCTTTGATTCTTGATCATCAAAGAAGATAAACTAGAGCAATGAACATTCAAAGTATTCTTTCGTCTCATTGTAATACTCCAGACACCACTATTACTACTACAACTTTGAATCCATCCATGGATCATTTCGATGCAAAAAGACCCAAACATTGTCATCAACCATTTTTTCTCCCATTTCAACCACAAGCAAAACGCAGTTGATCCCGGATACAACGTTATAAAGCAAGACCAGAATTATACCATACATAGAGTGAGGTATTGGCTTGGTTTGAATTAGTACTCCAAACACTGCACCTTTAAATCAAAAGTTTCCACGCTACTTCCTCTTCCTTAGCATCAACTCCGCATTTGCAAAGAAAAAAATCATTTACTTTTAACAGTCGTAGTTATTTTTTTGTAGCCTGGGGCCGCAAACCCTTGAAAGCCTTCCTTAAGGGCATCTAAATTATGTATCTGAGAAAGTCCTCCGCCGCGCCACGCAAGGACCCCGCCGCCCGACCAAAGCTAACCCTGGACGTCCACGCGTTTTTGGGAAGGCGTCAATCATGACCATTAATCTTGCATAAATATTTGAACTAATAACATCGAGAGGAAAAAGTGGGAGGAAGGGAACCATCTGACAATGGTGCAACGTAATCGAATGCAAAATAAATGAATGCAAGGACAGCAAGGGTTCTGCCTGCAAATGACTTTGTATACACTGGATAAATACTTCGGCTGGAACAACCTGAATTTAAGTCATTCTAAGCTTGACTAGAGGAAAGCATTCTTGAATCATAGATATCCACAGGGGGGCTATGTTTGTGTTTCGGTTAGTTACCAAAATTATGGACGGATTTTTACTCAGTTGACAGAAGGCTTCAGATCATAGTCTGCATCCAAAATTTTTAAGAAATGGAACTGTGCTTTTCTATGTTGCTTATGAGGCAGAGGAAAGTATTTTCTTTCTCAAAATAAGAATGTATTGAATATTTTCAGGAGCATAACACATAATCTAGGTTCATTAAAGAAACAGATAAAGAACAAATTGAAAATTTCTCCGGATGTAATGAAATGTCAATTCAAGATTTGTTTTTGTATTTTTTAAAGAACCAATATGTGCTGCTCCAGTAGTATCTACAGTGGCGATAAGTTTTGTTACTAGGTCTATTATGACTTGAGGTAATGATGAGTAAATACTGAGATGTTCAATAAAATATAGAAATTATTGTTTCACTAGTGTTAAACTGCAATTAATTTCCCTTAAATAAATAGAATGCCTTTTATCAAGTTTCCAGACTTTAAGAACTGGTGGAGTGGTAGATGTGTTCATCTGCCCATTGACTGTGAAACCAATGGCACACTAATATAATAAAGTCATATCAACATTGCAATTGAATGGCTCACAATTCAATATATTGTCCAAGCTCTATACCGTCACGCTAACCTTCGCCCTTTCCTCAGAACTTGTTTTCGGCTGTTCTGGGCCCGCTCCTGCCCTGTCTGTGTTTTGCTTCCACATCATTAGCGCGCACAGGGCCGAAGCAAACACACACAGAAATGCAGACGTCGCAACAACTGGCCCCGGCGTGACGTTTCCAAAGCAGCCCGTGGACGCTACAGGGGGCCGCAACTTTAGAACGAAGGGGACTCATTAATGGCCCATGCCGTAAATCCGCAGCCTAAGTACGGATCCTTGTCGAGGAGAGCCTAAAACAATAAACGCGGGACTCGCCTCTGACTGTGTGAAACGTGAGTCTGCCTTCACTGCAAAAAAAGAGGACGGCAAAGAAATTGTGGTGATGGACGGGGTCGTTTCAAGCTTTTTGGCTGGCCACTTGGATGATGATTAATGGGTGCAGTTAAAACTAAGGTAGCTGATTTTCTAATAGTGAAAATAGACATTTCTCTGCTTCCATTTGTTTCCCCTTGTCATTCACACGCTCACAGTAGATTTTCGAGCAATTTATGCGTGCTCTATATGTTCCTTTTTCCAGATTTGATTTTCTAAATGTGTTGCAAGTTTTATTACTCTGAGGGAAAAAACACTGACAGCCAACTTATTCTGCCAAAACTTACTCTCTAACAAAATTATGACTGCATCCACAACAATCATTTTATGAGCAATCATCAGGTGTCCAAGTAGCATCAGAGCTTGAATGCAGGTGAATCAACTTTAGTTTTTGGTGATTAATATTATGGTTAAATCAATTGTTTTGGCCAACATACAGCTCTTTACTCCCCTTATTTTAATCTGTCCCAAGCCCCTCCCGTCCCAATCCTCTCCACACACTTGTTTGCCTGTTTATTCCTGTTGACTTGTTCCAAAAGCCAATCTCCCGCTGTGATCCCTCCACCTTACGTTGTACCGCGGTGGCCCCAATCCAGCCGCACTCCTGTTATTGACGTTTCCATTTTCAGTGCAACGTGATACTCCCTGGCCTTCCTTACCCCTCCCTGGTGCTACCTCTCCCCACCAGTGGTCAGGGAGCTACACCGCGGCCCGGACAGACGTGCTTACAGACCCACCAGTCTCATGGTTTTACATGCGCTCTGCTCATGGGCAGCTACAGTATAAGAAATTGCCCAGTTGATATTTACGGAAAAGTTCATTTTGATGTAACAGAACATAATTTCTACTATGTGTCTTCTTCACTTAGATAAGACTGTTGCTTTTCAAATCTTGGCTGCTTGAATTACTTATCATTCTAAAACATCAAATGCCAGAGCAAAAAATCTCAAATAACGCAGACATAAATATTCGTTTTTTAAGGACAAGGTTGATTAGTCAGTGTCAAAAGTTGCCCTTTCTTAGAACTGTACCTTGATCCATTTGATCCAACTTGATTCAACTTTATGCCTTTCAAACACAAGTAGATGTGTTCATAATTATTAGTTTTCCTTTGATAATTTTTTTTAATCATATCCCACTTGTAGCAAAAAGTCAACGCAAGAAGCTCTATATCAAAAACAAGGACGTAAAACTAACGCCAACACGC